CACACACACAGACACACACAAGGACACAGACACACACACAGACACACTCGAACATACACAGACACACACACACACAGACACAACACACACAGACACACTCGAACATACACACACACACACACACACACACACACATGGACACAGACACACACATGGACACAGACACACACATGGACACAGACCACACACACAGACACACACTCAAACACACACAGACACACGGACACACACAGACACAGAGTTATACAATATGATCTGAGAGTACTAGTGTCACGCTCACTAAAAGCTGATGACCCTATCACACTCACAAGAGCCTTTTTGATTCGTTTTCTTTGGCATAATTTTACTCTGTAGCTCAGGTTGGCCCCCTGCCTTAGCCCCTCTGTTGATGGGATCTCAGTTGGGGATCCCCGTGCCCAGCTTACAAGCACCTTCATCCTCTATGGTATACCTTCTTCCTGTCCTAGTTACCCTCAGGAGCTACTGAGAAACCCCGGGCCGCGGCAGACTGCTGGGCACTTTCTCAGAGGTTTCGTAAATTGTGACACGTATTTAAAGCTGGCACTTACTTCTGCTGCTTTATTCATCCATGGCTGTGAGGTGCCCCTTGCCCCTGCCCAGGCTGGGGTAGAATCCAGGGCCTCTCCATGCTAGGACAGCATTCTACCACCACCACTGAGCTACCCAGCCCAGGCTTTCCCCCTTTTCTTTTCTTTTCTTTTCTTTTCTTTTTTTTCAAGACAGGGTCTCACTATATAACTTAGGTTGACCTTAAACCCTCCATACGGCTTGAACTAGCCTGGAACTTACTCTTTATTTAGTCCATGGCTACCCTCAAATACATGATTCTCCTGCCTCAGCCTCCTAGTACCGAGATCTCAGGCCTACTCCATCCTACCAGGCTAGTCTCTTACTTTAATAGTGTTTTCCTAATGACTATTAGTGATGAACCTTATTTATTATTTTATTTTATCTATTTTTTGCAACAGGGTCTCCTATTGTAGACCAATTGGCTTCAAACTCACAGAGATCTGCCTGTCTCTGCCTCCTGTGTGCTGGGATTAAAGGTGTATACCGCTACCCCCAGCCTTAAGCATTTATTTTTATTTCGTACGTATGTGTGTGTGCTCATATGCACATGGCACAGACGGTGTGTGGAGGTCAGAGGACAGCTTGTGGTTGTTGGTTCTCTCCTTCCACCATGTGGATGGGGTCATCAGGCATGGCTGCAAGTGGCTGAGACTTCTTGCCAGCCTTGTGGACAGTCAGCTATCCAGGTGTCTTTAATGAAATGTATATTCGGGTGTTAGGTTTGTTTTATTTTATTGAGCCTTTCTTCCTTCCTTCCTTCCTTCCTTCCTTCCTTCCTTCCTTCCTTCCTTCCGTCTGTCCTTCCTTCCTTCTTTCCTTCCTTCCTTTTGACACAAAGTTTCTCTGTGTAACAGTTCTTGATGTCCTGGAACTCACTCTATAGACCAGGTTGATCTCAGACTCACAGAGATTCGCCTATCTTTACCTCCCAAGTGCTGGTATGTGCTGCCACTGCCTGGCTGAGTTATTTTCTTATAGGGTTTTGGGAATTCTTTATCTTAGAAATAATTTCTGCTATCAGACATGTGACTTTGTTTAGTTTGGGATTTTCTTTCACTTTTCTGTATGTGTATATGCATGCATGTACATGTGTGTATAGGCATGTCTATGTGTGCATGTGTATATGTATGTGCTTGCATGTGCATATGCATGTGTATGCATGTGTAGTGTGTGTGTGTACGTGTATTCATGTGTGTGAATGTGTATTTGTGCATGTGTGTGTGTGTATGTATTGACCTTGAGTATCTTCTTCCATCACGGCTCTACTTTGCTTTTAAATTTTTATATCTGAGTGTTTGCCTATATGTATGTATGCATGTATGTGCACCATGTGTGTGTAGTAGCCATAAACGTCAGAAGAGGGCAGTTCTGGAACTGGACTTCCAAAGAGTTCTCAGCCCCCATGTGGGCGCTGGGAACTAAACTTGGATCTTCTGCAGGAGCAGCCAGTGCTATTAGCTGCTGAACCATCACTTCAGCCCTTCGACCTTATATTTTGGGACACAGCTTCTCACTCACCCACTCCACTAGGGTGGCTGGCCCCAGTGTTTTCCTGACTGCCTCCCCAGCACTGGGATTAAGGGCACACTGTGTGCTTGTCTTATATTTTTCTTGAGTATTGGGGACCCAAACTCAGTTCTTCAAGCTCATGACAAGACATTATTGTCTGAACCATCTCCCCAGCCCCTGTTAGTACTTAAAATTTTTGTTTTATTTTATTTGAGATAAAATCTCACCCTGTAGCCCAGACTGGCCTCACACTGGCAAGCCCCTCCCCACCTCTCCAGTGCACATTGGATCAGCGGCACCTAAGACCAGACATGGAGTTAATCCTAGCATTCAGTAGATGGAGGTGGAGGATTGTAAATTCGGCAAGTTTGAGGTTCGGCAAGCCTGGGTTACAGGAAACCCTACCAAAAGATTAAATGAAATGAACAGTTGTACTGTCTTGAGGGTGCTTTTGTGGTATGTGTGTGTGGATAGTGTCTGAGGGCAGGTGCCCTGTAGCTGGAAGCCTGTCTTCAGCTGAGTGACCAGGTCCCGTTGCTAGTGATTGTCTTAGCAGAGACTCTGGGCACAGTTTGTGTGTTCTGGAGGGCAGGGACCAGGATGGGCACTCACTCCGCCCACAACGTTTGCTCTTGTAAAATGCCATCTCTGTGTACATCTGAGAGCCAGCAACATGGGTGGCTTGGGTGTGTACTGACATGTTTATACATAGACCAGATGTTAGCCCAAAGCCCAGGTGGGCTAGGAATAAACACTTTTTTTTTTTTCTAACTGGGCATGATAGCATGTGCCTGTAACCCTAGCACTTAGAAGGTTGAAGGATTTTCAGGCAAGCCTCAGCCCCATGCTGGGTTGGAGCCTGTCTGGGCTACTCGGGACTTTGTTTAACAAAAACAAACCAAACAATTTTGTCTTAGAACGCACCCTCCAGAGTCTGTTATTTTCTCATGTTTCATACTCACACCCCAAGAAGTATTTTGCTAAGACAAAGAGAGTAACAACAGATACTCGATCTCTATTGGCAAGACAACAGAGAGGGCAGGGACTGTAGTGCCTAGAGGAGCAGCCATTCACACCAGCAGCTGCCTCTTGGCTCTGGTCACCCCTTACTGAGGGGTGGGTAGGCAAACTAGTATTTCTGTCTTCCAAGAAGCCATGGGTTTGGAATTATATAAAAATCTCCTAATTTCAAATGTTGGAAATAAAGTCTGTGTCATAGCATGAAAAGTGATGAGGGACTAGGAGACCATCATGGACCGCACCGTCGCTCAGGTGGCTGGATGGGAAGCCGGAAGGGGATGCCGACGAGGAAACCAGGGAAATGCAGCATGTGGTTCAGAGCTGGCTCACCGCAGCTCATCCATGCTGGCTTCTAGTTCACACCTGCCCTAGGAAGGTGTGATTACACTGGGCCATGGGCACTACCATGCACATGCCCCTGACCTTTCTAGCAGCCCAGTCTCCCTCCTACTCCAGAATCTTTGCCTGGCTCACCTAAGCTTCTGTGTCTTCATTCTGGCTTCTTTCTCAGGTATCCTGGTGGTTTAGGGCAAGGCAGGCCGAAGCTGCCAGTTGACTGTCAGTGTTCAGGCATGAGCTGAGCTTCCTGGACTGTGAGCCTCTGGAGGTCACAGGAGACACTGGTCTCTGCACCTGGCTGAACCTGCCATCAAGCTTCTCAGGGTACTCTCTGTCCTGTCCCCACCGTCCCTGTACAACCCCTGCCTCCAGCCTCTCTTCCGTGACCCCCGCCCTCTGCCCCATTCCCTGCCCTCTCCCTGTCATTTTCCCCTTTCTCCATCTTTTGTCCCCAGCCCTGCGCCCTGCCTCATGTCCCAGCTCCTGACCCTGTGCTGTAGTTGATT